AGGATCCCCCCTTTGGTCTCAGGCCAAATTTCGTCAAAATTGGCTGGGAGACAATTCTCCATTTTTATAATTTTTCCTGATACATATACATGTTCTTATGTACTGTAGCAAGTTTGAGCTGATTCCAACCAAAATTGAATTTTTTATGAATTTTGAAAGTTGCTTTAAAGTACTAGATCTATTGTGGTGCTTAAAGCTCATGCTTTTTAGCTAACTTAGCATGCTTTGTGGGAAACCCTTCATATTGTACAGTACATGCAGTTACCAGACTTATATGTACAGTACATGTATACTATATCCCAGTTGAGTTTGGGACAAGAAAAACTGGAATAACTTTTTATAGGAATGTGGGATAAGGGTGAGACTTTCACAGGTTCTTAGTCGCCAAAGTCCATCAAAATCTGTGAAATCTTGGGTCTCTCAGCCCTTGGGAACCCTGAGAACCGGGTTCTCCCTATAAACTCAATGGCATACCAAAATGACGTTTTATGACAATTTATCTACGTCATAGTTTACATAAGAACATGTGGTTGAGAGCGCAAACTGATAATTCTTGTTTTAAAAAGCTAACAGAGCAAGATCTTTTGATAATGATGGCCATTATGAAGACTAGTTGACCCCAGTAGCTGTTGTACTGCTTATCAGGAAGAGCAAGACTGTTTTAAGAGTGAAACAACACTGCTGCCATTCTTCCTATGAATATCATTATAATACATCATTTTGTGACGTAGCTACATTTTTCAAATTCCACGCAGCTGCTTCCACTTCCGTCCCAAACTGAACTGGGATATAGTATACCTCAGTATCATTATGTGATTATCTTGTGGTTGTTACTTATTGTTAAGGTGAGGGTAAGGACAGCAGTCCAGAGTACAGCTAATCCTGATGTTACTTATGTGTACAGTCCATACAGTAGGTGGGCCTCAGTCAGTGGCGTTATAATAGAAGGTAAGGGATAATAACTTTATATGAGCATTTGATTTATATTGTGTCTTTTCTATTTAACCTTTTTCTCCTTCTCTACTTTTTATAGTTCCTTCTGGAGGTAAGTGCTAAATATTATTATACATGTATAATAACCTGTTTAATCTTGTCTTTCTTTTTCTTTTATTTTTATTGTGTACCTTAACTACCTTCCTTATCCTTTGGAACAGCACCAAGTAAGATCAATACACTTTAAAAACCAATTTTATCATTAATTTCTCCTTTTCTCTCTCTCCATTCCTTTTCTTACAGCAATAATACCAGTTGATGATAATAATGACAGGACACTTGAGATTGTTCTTCCAACAGTTGTTGGGGCCATTGTTGTTGCAGTATTTATTTTATCGATTGTAATATTATTATATAAAATAAAGTAAGGAGAGAGGAGGGAATGATGTTTGGAGAGAGAAGGGGTTGAATAAAATGAGAGAAATGAGCTTATTATTGACATGGAGAGACAAGAGGATAAGATTTGTGTCCAGTGTGTGTGTGTGTGTGTGTGTGTGTGTGTGTGTGTGTGTGTGTGTGTGTGTGTGTGTGTGTGTGTGTGTGTGTGTGTGTGTGTGTGTGTGCTTGCTG